ATACCGACATAGTCGTATATTTAAAAGGTATTTTTAAAATAAAATAAAAACTGACATTTTTGCAATATTTCAATGAACAATTAGCAATAGATCAGTTTAATTATTTTAATTTTAATTAAATAAATGTTGTTAACCAGTAAAGGGTTGTTAAAACGTAATTTTGTTATATAAATTTGATTGATTATTTTGTTATGAGGTCGTTTCATTCAGCAATTTGATTGCAATTTCGTATTATAAAATAAACCTATAAACTTTATTATTTGTTTACTGAATGGAATATAGAAAAGAACTTAAATTAATGAAAATAAGCTCTGTTCTAAGAAACATTAGATTCATCTTTAAATGATAATTGCTTAAGCTTTGATGTAAATAACGACAAATTATACGAAACTTGTAACCATTACAATATCTCATCTGGTTGTATTATGCTTAGATTATTTCACAACATAATTAACACAGGAAAAGGTTATTAATAATCTGCTTATTTTCCTTCTTATTATCCATTTGATTGTGAATAAATAGCGGCTGCTTTTTTGGTTAATAAAAGATTTTTAAAGTATAACATAGAAAAACGTGATATATCTAGAAATTACAACATTTCAACTATCGCACAAAGGCTGACAAAAGATATTTGTTAGGAACCGAAAAAACTCATTGTCAAGCTCAAAAACCGGCGATATCGACCGACGTAAATTAAAAAAAGAAGAAAAACATTTAAATCTTTATCACGAATCCGACATATTGCACTTCTATTAAAAGCGGATCTACTTACGCTTCTGATACGTCAAGACATACTTTTCACAAAGTGTCTATTAAAATCTGTATCTTCTCAGAACTTTCGAGTGTGACATATTAAGGCACCTTTCACAAAAATTTATTCTCGCACGCTCGCTTTGATTTAATTCGAGAATTTTAACCGGCGTTGCAAATTATGATATCCATGACTAAACGTAACGCCCGATTTACCAGAAACTACGAATTTTATCAATTAAGCATAGTCTTTTCTTCGAGATAAACATCTACGCCATCTATTGTATAATTAAGTTCATTGGATCCATGACAAATTAATTAATTCTCGAATAGCAGGAGTCTCATGGTGCAGGAAATTTTCGTATGGTATTTTGGTACATTAAGTCCTGGATATACAACAGTTACCATGGTTCATATTAGTGGACACATTACCTGTTTCCATCCACGGAAAACATGGACAGCTGTGGGATCACAATTTGACGAGAACCATTCAAAGTGGACCACCACTTTGATAGTTCACGTTATCACCATTTATCCAATTTTTTTTAAATATCAGATCGTATTGGATCCTTAAGTGATCAGATCGATCAAACAATAATATTTAGTATGAAAAGCAACTTTATAAACAATTTAGCTATCATAAATTGTCTCAAAACTGCAATGGACTATAAAAATTCGAGTCCGTTCTTCAGTGTCCTTTATAACAGTGCTTAGTTCGAGTACTTTAACGTTCTCGATAGCGTAAAAGTTTGCCCAATTTTGTATGGAATTGGAACGGCGCCCATAGCGGCAAACACAGGCAAACGATCCCATTCCATACAAATATGAGCTAACTTTTATGCCGTCGAGAACGTTAAAAAACTCGCACTAAGCACACTGTAGTGAACACGACTCTTCACGCGAGTGTGTACAAAGGTGCTTTAGGATAGATATCGGCCTAAAATACAATCGAGTTGGGAATTAGACATCTCTCGGAATTTACCAGCAAAAACGATCCACATTACAAAATTTAAGTACACGATTCGAGCCTAAATAATATGTCAGTTTTGATATGTCTATGCGCATGTAAACTGGACTCTGGAAATGAACAGATCAATGTCGAAAAACTTCGTTTCCTGACACTTTTGCATCTTAGGATAATATAATAAGCATTATTAAATTAAGTTGATTGAAATTCATGAACAGTTTCTCACAGTACGGCTTAAAATTCGACCTCGTGCGTATGTATTCACTTAGCACGAGACGGTACTGCAGACCTTCAGCGCTAAAACAAAAACACATCCTGTGCAAGCTGTGGCAATAGTCACAATAATAAGTTATTGTGTTTTTTCTAAAACTCAATAACTTTCAAACAGGTTAAAATCTGTGAAACTTGCATTTCACATTCAAAGCGCATACGAACATTTAATAGGCGAGTAAACGTGAAAAGGCATTTCCATTTGCAGTAAAATTTCTCGTGAACTTACAAAGGCCGCACGTGCTCTGCCTCACCACGGTAGCAAAACTCACAAGTGGTACTCGTTCTTGGATCATTCAGACAGAACATTTGCAAAACACGTAGCACCTCTTTTACTAACCTAGTCACGTCCAAGCTTTGTTTATCTCCAAATTTCGTAGCAACAATCCGCTAATTTTTTTACGAAACTCAAGTTGGCTCAAGCAATTAGGATTCAAGATAAAGACGAGAGGTTTTGCAAAAGTCTTTTCTGTACGTCGTGTCTACAATTTGGACAAACACGCCGAAATATTTCGTTATGGTTTGATCTTCCAAGATGACCGTACGATGTGATTGTGTTAGTGTGTGTGGCTTATAATAATTTCGTAAAACCGTCAAGAGTACCGACTGATATCACTTGCAAATGTTTTGGCCAATGAACCTGTCGCGAAAAATTCTAACGATCTAAATAAGCTGCAGCAAATGAAGCCAATATTATTACTATACCTTTGTGGATTCGTTTTTTTTTGTGCCCGAAAATAGCAATACGAATATACTGCTATTCGTGACTGGCGGATATCTAGCTACTCTCAATACAAATAACACCAAAGTAACGTTACATTTTAACGACACTACGTGAAAAGAAATTGTAAACCTACGTTCATACCTCGGTTCGTAATGTTTGATGTTTATTTATTTGTAAAGTTCACATTCGTATTTCTCATTTGGTCATCGACAAAAATAAAGAAACATGCAATAGGTGCCGTTGACATTTCTGAATTCGATTGTATTTGCTTTTTTCATTGAATACGAGGCCAATGCATGATACCACAATTCAAACACTTCATGGTCTTCATCAAAAATCTATATATTAATACGTGAAGCAAAAACTTTGTATCCCTTTTTACGAAAATTGCGTGGACGGAGGAGTAGGTATGAAATTTTCCACACTTATACAGAATATAGAGAAGAAGTGCACAATGCTAATATTTTTATAAAATAATGCATTAAAGATACATTAAATCAATAAAGAAAACATTACACACACTACATACCATGTATTTGACGCACACACGCATGCATACTATTTACTGTCAAACTTTTGTTCTTGACGTCTGTGGTCAAATTGAGAATAGATTAAATATTGTTTGTCTTTATTAATATTATATTTTTTATAGTGTAGCCTTGGCGAAATTTGTGATTATAGAAGTATAAAATACAATCATAATAGTGTACAAACTTACAATTCCAATTAATTATTATAGTCGAATTTCGACTACTGTGGGACCTCTAGTAATAAATTAATATTCGGAAGCGACTTACGAGCTAAAGATAATGAAGTTTGATGGGTTACAACCGTATAACTGCAACATAAGATTACTAGCCAAACCGTGTTATCGACGAAGCCCTAATAATGGGGCACAGTGCGATATTCATCTGTAACTGTTGTCTGATTGAATACCGAATGTAGGTACTTTCAAAATCGTTTTTGTTAATTATTATCTCAGCGACGTCGAAATTGAAGAAGAATGAATTCCAAGTGAAATTATTTTATTTTTAATGAAATAATTTGTGTTTTAATATTTATTAACTACTAGAGGCCCACTCCGGCTCCGCTCAGGTCTTTAACAAAAATGTCAACCATATTTGACGTTGTTTTATTTTTTTAAATAAAATAACACTTATTGCGGCATAACTATAATAGTTAGACATACGCTGTCGCGACACTTTTTGTAAATAATAATGTGTTACAAAGTCGTAGTACGTTATTTTATTCTATCATCAATAGTTTTCGTAGGGCGCGCGATGTAAAGAATATTTTAGGTAATTTTTTTACACCTTGAGTTACATTATTGGAGTTTTAGTAAGGATCCCTAATTTTTTTCAAAAAAGATTATATCACTCGGGAATTGTGTAGCTTCCAAACAGTGAAAGAATTTTGCAAATCGGTTCAGTAGTTTCGGAGCCTATTCAATACAAACAAACAAACAAATCTTTCCTCTTTATAATATTAGTATATATATTTGAGATTTTAACGGTTTCATCTGGCGGTTATTGTTTTCCGACTTCGATCGCTATAGTTTTCGTAGTCACGGACGACGGAAATCTAAATTTCTACAAAACCTATCCATTGAGATTTACGTTTCTCTGCACGCAGAAAGTATAATGTGGTAGTATTATGTATCAGAAGTCGAGCAGTTTGTTCGATTTGGGTATTCAACTTCACGACAAGAGGCTCCCAAGTGTTAGATACGCGGTAACCATCTTCTCAATCAAATGTAGGGTATTTTTAATTTAAATGGCCTCGCCTAGAGTGCTTGGGTTAAACTCTATTTTTAAATCTAGTAGGTATTTTTCTCTGGTATGTTGATAAACCGCAGACTTGTGTGCTCGGTTGCCCTTGACATCCACAATATGTTCCTTAATTCTGACTTAATTATGACACAGTCATATTTCAATTTATCAATAAGAAGCATGGACAAGTATTTTAAATTATTTTTCTATTTAGTTAACTAGTCAAAATTCATGACTCCGTTTTGTTATGTTATTTCAGCTGATAATTTGAACACAGCAATTTTATTCCTCAGATCTAGTTTAAAGTATAGCTCAAGACGTCAAATTCCGCCTGTTCCTACAATAGGTCTATAGGCAGATTATGTTGCGCTATCCTTGCGGTTTCTGCGCCAAGAATTTCGTAACAAAACACTAAAACGGTGAATGCACTTGCGGATCTTGTTGCGACGCCACGCTGCGCCCGGGATCCTACTTTATTTAACGACATCATCACGAATCCCGGCCACGACTTGCCACTTCATCAAAGTAAATACAGCAACCTTAAAAAAAAATGAGAAGATTTCAAATCATAAATGTTTAAACGTAAAATTTATTGCACCGGAGATAAAGCGAAGCAATGTATTGGGTAAATGTCTTCTGGAAAGCCATACTGTATATCGGAATGAATTATTCGAAGGTTAACTTGATCAAAAATTTTCGTCATCAGTTCAAGTGGTCGTGTCACGGATGAATCATCTTCGTCGTATTCAACTTCTTTAGATGTTGTTATATTTTCTTTAATAATTATTAAACCATTTTTGGATAGTGCTTCTTTGCTTTGGTTTAAGAACTTTATGAGATCGGAGTCATTTAAATGTCCAAGAACCCATTGGCACCAGATAACGTCATAGTTTTTGTGCGGTCTAAAGTTTTGAAGTCCAGTCTGGTACAGGGTTCCTAGCTTCGTAACGTCATCACCGATATTAATCTTAGCTTCGGTAATGAACTTTAAATCCGGTTCCACGAGATCTATTTTATCGAAATAATGAATTAGCAAGTGTTTTGTTACCCGCCCAATACCAGCCCCGCAATCGAGAGCCAGTTTTGTGGCCGGCGGATTAGCGGAACTTAGCACTTTGTTTAAAAACGCCCTAGATTCATCAATGTCAATGTCAGAGAAGCTACCAAAGCCACCGAGTACTCCATCTATTGTTGCCGGCACATTAGCCCAATATATAGCGGCTTTTTTATAAAAATCTTTCTCGGTCATTATTCCACATTTTTGACAGCGTCGTGAGACGTCATACAATGATAAGAGAAATTGAATGAAATTAGGCGCCAACCTTTTTGCTTGCCACATTAAGAGTAGTTATTAACTCTGTGAGATTATTGATATATATTTTTTTCTTTTTGTTAAAGGCACTGATAGCAGCAGTCAATGAAACTAAAGAAGAGGACATCCGAGATGCTCTGAAGTTGCAGACCGAGCAGCAATTGGCTCTGGTGCCACGTGGTCCCATACTCATTAAGGATACTGTGGCGTATAATACTACAATCAACACTGATGACACGGTACGTAAACAAGTACACCCTGGAAGAGTAAACTATAAAAGATCTAAAAGACTCTATCTGGTGGTAGGACCTCTTATGAGTCCGCACGGGTAGATACCACCACCCCGCCTATTTCTGCCGTGAAGCAGTAATGCGTTTCGGTTCGAAGGGTGGGGTAGCCGTTGTAACTATACTGAGACCTTAGAACTTATATCTCAAGGTGGGTGCCGCATTTACGTTATAGATATCTATGGGTTCCAGTAAACACTTAAAAAAAAAGAAACTTGATATAATATTCAAGAAGCCTTTTTAAAAGTTAGTGGTTTACTTTACCTAACAATTACGACGTAGATAAATAATAAAAAAAAACGAGTGAAAATGATGTAGCTTAGTAAAATTAAGTGTTATTACAGAATTCTACATAGTCATCCAACATAGACCGTATTATATCGGCAGCAATTTTAAACTCAGTTAGAAAGATGCACTTAATATTTGAGGCTGAGTAAGCCCGTAAAACTTTGACAAAAATACATTTTCGTTCCATTTTGTGATATTTTGATGCTATGTTTACTTTTATGCAATATTATAAAAGATTTAATTAATGGTCAAGTAATTATGAAAAAGTGAATGCAGAAATGTTATTTACAATTTATAAAATTATTTTGAACAGAAAGAACTGCGTGCGTTGGGTCCTGATGGGACGATTGTGACACAAACATTTCACACGAAAGAACAAGAAAGAGTCTGCGACGAGGAACTATCCAAGAACGAGGTAAATTATGAACACTGGCTTAGTTCAAAAATACTTACTTTTTTAAATACATTTTGTACTACAACTGAATATTAAACAATAGGATCAAATTAATACGAATGTAAATAGATCATGCAAATAGATCTTGGTTCGTATTCTGTAAAATTAATTGTTCGTTTACACTTATTTTTGATTTTTAAGAAACGTGAAAGAATTTAAATTATAGGTGAAGTCACTGGCGAGCGACGCGAGCCTGGTGGAAGAGGTAGGAGGTACAGAACGGCGCAAAAGGGTCGAGCTTGAGAAGAGTACCGACCTCATGGCGGGAGGACTGCGAGTCTCTCATACTGTACATTCAAAAAATCGCATTGAAGAAGGTAACCATTTAATAAAAGATTTATGTAAATAGATTGATTGTACAAATTTTTAAAATATTTGTCGTTTTCGCAGTTGAAAGAGAAGGGCAACCAAACATGGATGACGATTGGGATAGTTTGTCAGTGAGATTGCGACGCCAGCGACGCCTTCGTCACAATGGTAAGGAAGAGAATAATGTTTTACAACCGAGACAGCAGATGGCGCTGTTAGTTAGCTTCCACTTTTCGCCACTAGATGGTGCTTGGTGAATTTAGTTCACAAATTTTCTATAGATGGCAGTGTTTTAAAAATTATAAATCGTAGTTAGAAATGCCCTTTGCGTTAAAAAACGCGTAGATTCAATTAGTTTATGATGGCTATTTACAAGTTCTTGCATTCTCGTCTCACATTACTAGTATTATTACTATCTAAGAATAATTCGTTAAATGTCATCAGTATCTAAGGGAGTTAGGGGTTAGGTACCAATTCGGTAGTTAGGTAGGAAAATAGTTGTGAGCATTACGGATGAAAAGATTATAAGGTAGCCGTCGCCCGAAACATGTCTTGTCGGATCCCCCGGATCCACTCACGGTGCTTTTAGACCTCACAAGCACCGGTCACCATCGTCGAATACGACGAAGAGTTCGACGAGCGAACTAACCCATAGACACAGCCCACTGAGTTTCCCGCCGGATCTTCTCAGTGGGTCGCGACTCCGATCCGGTGGTAGATTCTGCGAAGCACTGCTCTTGTTAGGGCCAGTGCTAGCAAATACTCTCAGGTTGAGCCCGTGAGCTCACCTACCCGTCCGGGGGTAGCTGGAATAGCCTCTTAGGCTACCAGCGAATACGTAGAAATAAAAAAGGTAGCGGTTGTAGTTGGTCAGGACGAATTAAGTGTTCTTGGCTTAATTGATAATATATTCGATATGTTGGTATCAAGTTGGTTGGTTGGTATCAAGTGATGCGACGATACCGGCTCTCAAATTTGGAAGGCAGCTGCGAATTTTTCAAGAAAATCGTACCTCGCAGTCCCAACACGCGTTCACTAACAACGAAGGAAGACGTCGTGTCATAAAAATCAACCTGAAGACGTACGAATAGATATATCGCTTCGGGTCTGAAGAACGGTATAAATGAAAGTTCGAACTCATCTATCAAGGTGGTGTGGTGTCTATGATCTTCGGTAGTCACTTATTACGCTTTAAGCTCGTTCGCCCATAAACAAAATTTACGAAAAGTTAAGGTTACAAAGTCTTTTTTTTTATTGTTTAGATGGGTGGACGAACTCACAGCCCACCTGGTTCTAAGTGGTTACTGGAGCACATAGACATCTACAACGTAAATGCGCCACCCACCTTGAGATATAAGTTCTAAGGTCTCAAGTAGGTATAGGTTTAGCGGTAGGCAGCGGCTAGGCTCTGCCCCTGGCATTGCTGAAGTCCATGGGCGACGGTAACCACTCACCATCAGGTGGGCCGTATGCTCGTCTGCCTATAAGGGCAATAAAAAAAAAGTTACAACGGCAGGTTATAGTTACAGTCTTATAGGAACGCAACCTGTTTGTGCATGTACACAAACAAATAAAATAAAAAAAAGGGTGCGTGTACTTATGTACGCGCGTAAGAAGTTATACTTTATTATTATTAAATTTATTTCTTTTTTTTTAATATTAAATAATTAATAATAAATATTTAACGTTAATAATTTAATAATATTTAGTATGAATTATATTAAATAATAATTTTGTCATTTATATTACTAAAAAATAATGCTAATAACACTTTTTTTACGAGTGTACATGCGCGAAAGTTCACTTGCGGCTATATTCAGACTCGCCAAGTTACGTCGGTCGTATTGTAATGAACGATTTAGTGGGCAACTTCATTTCTGTTAATTTTGTGTCACGGTGCGCGCGCATCGTAAAATTTCACTCTCATCAATTTTTCATAACGCACCTAAAGAAATATAACTTCAAAAATACATTCAATAATATGAAAATACCATTGTCACCAATAAAGTATTTTGTAGGAAGTAACCGAATGAGATATTGAAAATTTTCATGTTGGCCGTTGGCGTCATACCGTCGCCTCGAGGGCAAAGAATATCATGCGAAGCTATAACATTACGAAACGAGGTTTACCAAATCAGTTCATTCAGAGTATCGCACCAAAATAGGAGTGTAGTACCTGTATCTTTAGTTTGAAATCGTTATGTTAATAATTCGACATTGTGGCCATTTTAGTGTCAAGTCGACGGCCTTGGTCGAGAGTCTGTTCCGTATAACTTGTCCAAGTGCTCATAGATATACATCGTAACGATTTCTACAAAACATTTAATTTCAAACATCGTAAAATTTAATTGTGAAGTGAACGAAAACCAAAAATAATGTGGTAGGTACGTACGCAATTTTTTGTAAGTCAATTTAAAATTTCGAAAATGTACGCGATTTGCATGAATTTGCTCTTTAACGATAATGAAAACAAGCTATAACGCTTTCAAATAATAATGTATGTGTACTTATGAGACGAAAAAAAAACATTTGTCCAATCACACAGTTTTCTATTAGATTTACGATTATTTCAGCGTAATGGTAACATATTATTGTTTTCTTAACAACATTATATGTATTTAAAAAAATCAAATCGAGAAGTATTACTAGATTGATATTGTATTTTTTTAATTATAAAGCCACCCGCTGCCTTTCGCTGAAGACTCCGCTAACTTCATTCGAAGAAGGACATCTTATATTAAACAGATTTACTAACATGTCTCTAGTATTATATGCATAGTAATATATGGTAACAAGAAAATAAAAAGTGCGTAAAAGGATGTGATTGTATAATATTAAAGAACAGCTGAAATTTGACAGGGTAGACCAATACTATGTGTGTCTGACGTGATACAGTTATGCGGTCCGCACTAAATAATGTGTCAGTCGACACAATCTAGACTTTGTCCTCGTGTCTCAAAGTACGTAATCGTATATACGTTTCACGTCTATGGATTGTAAGCACAATCCATAGACGGCAGCTTGACTGTATTATAAAAAAAAAAAACATTTCGCATATATTAGAATCAAATAGGCATTATATTATTATGATAATTCTATGCTAGGATTGTCTGGTATGCGTCGTGTGTGTTCAAATTCGTTTTTAATACGCTTTTATTAGTTGTTTGTTGTATTGTATGTTGTGTAGTATGTATGTTTGTAACGGAATCTTTCAACATGATTTTGACTTCCTTCAAAACGTCGGATTAACTCGAAATTTGGTATAGTTATTCTAGAGTGATGACAATTCAATTAAAAAAAAAAATTTGAAAAATAGTAATAATTGAAAAATTGAAATTTAACCAAAAAATGAAAAATAAATAACAGTTTAAAAAAAAACTATTATAACAAAATACGCTTTTATAGAAAATCCAACTAAAAAATATAAAATAAATTTTAATAAATATGAATTAAAAATAGTAGTGTAAGAAAAATGATTTTATTGTAATAAAAGCGTGGGGTTGCTCTTTTAATACAAAATAAGTAAACAAATTTTTTCGGGACACTAGTTATAAGAATGGTACATAGCAAACTTATCGTAGGAATTAATTAATTTTGTTGTTAACTTCACTAAAACACGTTCCTGAACAATAAATAGGTGGTATTTTTTCTCTCTTTATTTGAACAAACAAAATGCTACCCAATATTTTCATAGAAATCATTATTAATCTCTGAATTGCGAATCATTTCATTAATAAATTCGCTTCACATTTTAAAGCATGTTTAATTAATTTTATGAATTTCATTACCACGAATAAAATTCAATAGAACAGTAACTGTAAGTATAAAAACAAAACGTTTTGATAGTGTACAATAGAGCATTGCTGAAATAAATGACGGCAGGTAAACACCAAGGCAATTGTTTTTAACATGTAATCACGTGCGGGCTTGAGGTCATTAAAACATTATTTAGATCGAATCGAGACATTAGCGTAAGCTATCATTTCATATAACGTGTATGTTGCAAGCTCGTATGCGACTCATAAAATAACCTACCCGTAATGAAGCAAAGTTATAAAATTTGCGGATGTCACTTTAATTATCCTTAGCTATTTCTTCAATGTGGAAGTCGCTGATGTACACGAACTCTCAGACACAGCCCACTGAGTTTCTCGCCGGATCTTCTCAGTGGGTCGCGTTTCCGATCCGGTGGTAGATTCTGCGAAGCACGACTCTTGCTAGGGTTCGTGTTAGCATCGTCGTCAGCTTTGAGCCCCGTGAGCTCACCTACTAGTTACGGTTACGTTGGAATAGCCGCTCCAGGCTACCAGATTAGGTAGGAAAAAAAAAATTTACACGTGTTAAATCCTTATTTTCTTAGATGGGTTGGCCCTGGTGGCATTGGAACTTCGTTATTGATGCATCGTTCAATAGGAATAAACTTAAGCACTCTAAGCACTAAAAAAAATTAATAGGATTAGGCTTAGGGACCCCGGTAACCGTACTCGTCTCGACAAAGAGTTCGCCGTACAACCTAACCCATGAATCAGCTCGCTGAGTTTCTCGCCGGATCTTCTCAGCGGGTCGCGATTCCGATCCGGTAGTAGATTCATTTGGAAGCAGTTGCTCTTGAGTTGTTAGGTCTCCTTCAGAGGCGCTCGGGCAGTTGCTAGCAAATCCCACCCCTCCTGGCTGAGCCTTTGCTCGCCCACCTGTCCTGGTGAAACTGGAAAGGTCTCCGGGGCCAGCAGCAATCCTTCAATCCTAGAAAAAAAAAAGTATACACCAGGCGTCTTATTCTTAAGGGGAACTATGCTACAATTACGTTTAAGTCGCTTTTGAAATATGTAGGTTCATTCTGAAATCAGACAAACCGTACAGATGGACAAAACGATAACAGTACAAAAGCATATCATAAATCAGTACGCCTCCGCGTAAGATCGCACACTTTCTCTATTAAATTTGGCGAGGCACTGTTTCTGCTAGCAATTAAGTAGTACGTAAACAAACGTACGATGTTCCAAGGAGGTTACAAGTTGGCAATTTGAGATGCACGTCCGTCGGGCCGCATATGGGAGCCGAGCCTACGCAGCAAAGTCGACGAGGCTTCAGAACGGTTAAATAGTAGTGATGCGCATATGTTTTATTTTAATCGATTGTTTATTTCGCGATGGGTCCAATACTTCGGAATCGATTCTCAAATGTAATCGATAAATTATTTAAAAGTGGTAAAGTTATTATCCTCGTCAATTGTAGTTAAGTCAAGAGTATTGAGCGCTGGTGGCCTCACAAATGAGGGTGAGTAGTCACCGTCGTCTATGGACATCAGCAATGCTTGGGGCATATTCAAGCCTACTGTTTTAGACTCGGTTCCAAGTAATAGGAAATAACTTTATTCTACTGAACGGAAGTTCGCTAAGCACCACCACTCTGGCTATTTTTGCCGTGAAGCGGTAATACGTTTCCATTTGAAAAGCGGGGCAACCGTTGTACTGTAAAAGTGAGACTTAGAGAGCTCATGTCTCAAGGTGGTTTCAGAATTTACGTTGTTAATGTCTATGAGCTACGGTTACCACTTAATACAAGAAGGCCCGTGAGATCGTCCATCTCAGAAAAAGCAAATAAAAAAGAGACCGTGGTTACGAGCTACCGAATAAATAAAATAATCAAAGTATTTAACGTACAATATCGATAGTATTCTAATCCATTGCGAGTTGCGACTATCTACTACATACATATTATTATCTAGATATGCGAGTCAGGACCATTTTAGTTTTTATCTATATCTATACTAATATTATAAAGAGGAAAGATTTGTTTGTTTGTTTGTTTCGAATAGGCTCCGAAACTACTGGACCGATTTGAAAAATTCTTTTTCCATTAGAAGCCGACATTGTCCCTGATGAACATAGGCTACTTTTTTTTCATTTTTTATTTTTTTTTTTTTTGTTTCATGTGTGTTTTAATGTTTCCGAAGCGAAGCGAGGGCGGGTCGCTAGTGTTTTTATAATTTGCATTGTCTTTTATAACTATGATTTAGGTAAAATTTTAATATATTCACTATTTTATGTGTCCATTAATAAATAATATAATGGTGTGTGTTATTAAATATGAAACATATTCGTGGGCTGGTACTCAGACAAAGCTAACTGAAAATCACTGATCTAAAGAAGCCCATACAACTCGAATCGTCGTCAAATTCATTGATAAAAATCGATATTATATCGAATCGGTATTGTACTCTTGAATCGATATGCATAAACTATTTAAAAATAATGTGCATATCTATTTAGAAATCAAGATGCGTAATCAACTTCTGATAAACTATTATACAAGTATATAAAGACCGCCCGCCACCGGAGTAGAGTTCATCCATACTACCTGGAGCCACTGCGGTCATCCACAGTGCGCTTCCAGAGATCTTTTTTGTCACGTACCATCCGGCTATGGAATGAGCTCCCGTCCACGGTGTTTCCCGAGCGCTATGACATGTCCTTCTTCAAACGAGGCTTATGGAGAGTATTAAGCGGTAGGCAGCGGCTTGGCTCTGCCCCTGGCATTGCTGAAGTCCATGGGCGACGGTAACCACTCACCATCAGGTGGGCCGTATGCCAGTCTGCCTACAAAGGCAATAAAAAAAAAAATTTAGTTGTAGGCAACGGCTTGGTGAGTCCATGAGCGATAGTGACTACTTACGATTAAACTTGCCAGAAAATGAATACAATTTTTAATTTAATTTAAATTTAATTTACCCTAATACCTCATCAACTCATAATAAAATACACAATACATTTAGTGGTTATTGTTGAACAGTGATCTATACTAATATTATAAAGAGGAAAGATTTGTTTGTTTGTTTGTTTCGAATAGGCTCCGAAACTACTGGACCGATTTGAAAAATTATTTTTCCATTAGAAGCCGACATTGTCCCTGATGAACATAGGCTACTTTTTTTAATTTTTTTTTAATTTTTTTTTTGTTTCATGTGTGTTTTAATGTTTCCGAAGCAAAGCGAGGGCGGGTCGCTAGTAAGATTATAATTGCGATTCACACCTTTAATGCGCAATGTCACAAACAAACATTCTGTTGAGTGTATTCAACAAGGACATGAATTCAGACCAGGGTAAAATGAAAGAATTAATTGCTTTTACTGTGTTTATTCTAGCAATACAGTCAAACCTGGATAAGCGAGAGTTCAAGGGAGCACAATCTCATTCTCGCTTATAGAGGTTTCTCACTAACCCGAGTTTCTCGCTAATGCTCTCTCTGATTTGCGATTCGCGATTTTCCGCATTCAAATGCATTCACTATTTTAAGTTTATGACTTTAATGACAGTACTTTAATTTTCCGTTTTTACATGATGCAGAACAGAACTTTCCTTCGCAATTGATTAACGATAAACTGAGTAAGTCCGACAAACAGGACGGTACACAGACACACGTGTCCATTCGAAAAGAATGGGATAAAAGAATACGATAAAATAACAACGTTATTTAGTTCCATGAAATAGGTTCAATATTCACGAGAAAACAATACAAAAACAATGATAGGAAGTTCCACGAAAGTTAAGAATGAGTCATAAAATAGCAGATGTTAAATTTATAATTTGTTTTGTCATTTGTTCCTCCTAAATAATAGAAATAAATAAATAAAGCTCGGCTGTCGCTTATAGAGGTATAGATAGGTAGCAGTCTCACTTACGGAGGTCCATGAGGAAAAAACGAGTCTCTTACAGAGGTTTCTGTTTCTCGTCAATAGAGGTTTTGGGAGCTTAAAATGACGGGTCCTGGCTATTACTCTCACTTATAGAGTTTTCTTACTTGTCCAGTTCTCACTTACCCAGGTTTGACTGTAATTGAAAAAGTATATTCCAACGATCTTTCTAGATTAATGGGCTCCGTACCGTAAATTAGTTTAATGTCAATTTCAACAAATTGTGCATAAAATATTCAAAAAGATACTATTATAATTATTACCAATTTTCAAAGTAAGGACCATTCATTACGACATAAAATTACATAACTTAATCACGATGCCATGCGGTGACCCTTCCAAGAAAATGATTCACATTAAAGTCAGTACATTTCGGATAAGGCATAACTTCTTGTAGGTAATACCAGTATTTTACAATTAAAAGTTTTTGACAAATTTACTGACAAATTTATTGTTCATACAAATTTACGAATTAAATAAATACTTTTTACTACTTACATAATTTAAACTTACTATTTGTTCGAAATATTCTAAACTTAAAACTTTATAATCAATTACACGAAAAAATTATGAAGCTCCTTGTAAGTAAACTTGACTTGAGTCTTATAACATGAAAAGACGTTTAAAAGTCATGCGATCAATAATAATGACCTAGAAATTATAATTCAGTCAATAATTTACCGCGCTTGTTTTATGGCGGTTAAGTAAAGACGTCTCGAGTTTGTGCCGCATTGACCTTCGGTAGTTTGGCAAACTTATGTGTTTACCGAACGATTACGCCATAACATGTGTGCGAGAGGACGCGCAGTCGCTTGCCACTTGCCACCACTTCGTAGCGAGATCGAACGCGAGTGCTCGTGCACACAAGCATCCTTAATTTATTATTTATTTACTTCCAGACCACGACAAGGATTACAAAAGGCCGGTTGATTTCGACATCGAGGAAGAGACCAGAAAAAAGGAAACCTCCAAATGGCTTGAAAGTCATTTCGGTAGTGACTCGCGATCCTCGCACGATTCCATTGCCGAAGAGATAGGTCGACCGCCAGAGCCGTTTTTTAAGAAAAAAACAATTGAGGACGAGGGCTACTTTGGTAAATCTTCGACCGGACCACCGCCGCCAGTTTATGGAGATCGTGTACTGAGAAAAACGAAATCGTCGACGCCTTCGGACGAAAGGCCTCAGGCCAACAGGACTACGGGCTATTTTAAAGGCGTCGCTGATTGGTCACAAAGAAGAGCCACAAAGCCTAGAATGCCAGAACCGCGCAGTTCGTCGCCATCGCCGCCAACTGCTCGCTCGCCATACGCTAGTAATGATCGCTTAAATGGCTCATCACCTCGGCNTGTACTGAGAAAAACGAAATCGTCGACGCCTTCGGACGAAAGGCCTCAGGCCAACAGGACTACGGGCTATTTTAAAGGCGTCGCTGATTGGTCACAAAGAAGAGCCACAAAGCCTAGAATGCCAGAACCGCGCAGTTCGTCGCCATCGCCGCCAACTGCTCGCTCGCCATACGCTAGTAATGATCGCTTAAATGGCTCATCACCTCGGCACGTGTATGGAAAACGCGATTCGCCTCAGGGTCGGTCGTCGCCGATCGGCCGCCGCCATCCGCCTTCACGAGACGATTCCGCCTACGTGTCGTCGTCAACTATGCACAGTCCCCCACGTGGATCACCATTCCGGCCATTAGAAACTGATCGGTCATTCCGAGAGCCGTCGGTGGAAGAGGATTATCGCCCGATCGCCCCAGAGCGTAAGCGTCAACCAAAGCTGCGAGTATCAGAAGAGCATCGTTATGACAGTGGTTACAGAAGTTCCTCCAGAAACGAGAATTCTGGAAGGTCTCGTGACAGCCGTGAGGAAGGCGCGACTGAGCCTCCACCTGATTATTCGCCTCCGCGGGAGAGACGCGAGAGCTCGGATAGGGACCGCACCCCGCCGCGGCGACGTGATCGTGACGAGCGCAAACAAAATCAGAAAACTCGCTTTGCCGACAGCGGGCGACGTCCGTCACCGGCAAGGAAGTCCGTCGGGTCCGCAATTGGGAATTCCATCCGGAAGTTAGTTGGTAAAATTCGCTCGGCTTCAGCAGAGCGGCGGGGTCGCTGGCGAAGCTCTCGGTCGCCGTCTCCGGAGCACTCGTCGCGGACGTACAAGCAGTACGGTGGCGAGCTGGCGCCCCCCACAGCGCCCCCACACCGCTACTATCTCGGGGAGGACCCCTTCGCGCCCAGCATCTACGGCCGCGAGCACAAGTACGAGGGCAGTTCGAAGCGCACCGCCGGACACGACGCCCGTGAACACCGAGACAGGTATGAAATTTATTTATTTACGACAGATTTGCTTTGTTGTTTTAATACCACTGTTAGAACGATACGATCTGCGTGATGGTGAGTGGCAATTGTCGCTCATGGTGAAGCCAGGGGAAAACATACCGCTGCCTATCGCTCAGGACTCGTTTAATATTTCCATCAAAGAAGGACATGTCTATGTAGCACATAAATCTGCTAAAATCACTTCACTTAGTTGTTTTCTGTATCTAATTTTATTTAAATCGAAATTCTAGATTACAAAACACACCAAATTTAATCAAAACAACATTTAACATTAAATTTTGCCTAAGGGACATCACATTAAAACTCCTTCGCTTTTGTTCGGCTCAATCGTTTACACGTGACAAATCAAATTCACGATGTTGAAAATTAACGATACAATATAATTTGAATATAAAAATCTACTCAACGGCCTTAAAAAGCATCTGGTTCCACGACCGATTCGTGCCCACCTACATCGACAGATGCCAAACATAAAATTTAATTAATGCGTTTGTTGTTTATTATCATATAGTTACGGCGATCTGATAGGGCCCGAGAATAATGTGGACGTACGTGGGCTTAACTAGCTTGATTTACTATATATAATGCTTTGTTTCAATGCACGCATCAAATTACTTGTATAATAATAGAGTATTGCGGTGTTTAGTTCTTCGTCCTTTTTATAAATAGCGATGGGTATTTATTTAAATGGGTTCGAGGGGATTCATCGAGCCCTGTGCAGTTTTGAGAAGTTACCGGAGTACGTAGGTGACAAAACGTGAATATCACTTGAGGTTGAAGTCTTTATTTTATTGTATCAGACTAACTCACAGACACAACCCATTGAGTTTTTCGCCGGTTCTTCTCAGTGGGTCGCGATTCCCATCCAGTGGTAAATGCTCCGAGGTACTGATTGCTAGGAGTAGTATTAGCAAATTCTCTCAGGTTGAGCCCGTGAGCTCACCTACCCGTTCGCGGGTAGTTCGAACAGCCCCATAAGCTACCAGCTAATAAGTAGGGAAAAAATGTATCAGTCCTACCACGCCTATCAAACAGGACCGCATGACTGTTTAACGGTAGAAATAGGCAACACGGTAGTATCAATCTGTGGGGACTCACAATACGCTAATATTTTGTCCACGAGGAACGCTGCTAACTTTGAATAACTTATTTTGTACAGTCTTCCCAAAATATGACAATAGAGTACAAGATATCTAAACTAACTAAATCTAAACTAATAAAAAAAAAAAATCGGCACAGGGAGATAGCATTTTGATTACTTATGCCGCGTAGTCATTATGCTTGTTGGTTTGAAATGTGGGAGAGCCATTACTTTAATGTTTAAAGATTTCAAAAATAAATTCCAACATCATAATTGCAGTTATTATTAAAATACAAAAATAATCCATTCACCCTATAAAAATAATCGAAACATCTCTTTGCTGTTAGTAGCAATTCAGTTTATTTATAAAATGTAGATTTATAAAATATAAATAACATTTTGTTCATTTCCTTCGAACATTTTTTTTATTATTTTTCATATTTGTTTGTATGGGGGCACAAAGTCTAAATAAGTAAAATCAAAAGCTTGTGAATTGGTATAAGCTTGAGCATTGAAGTATTTTGTTGTATGTCACCTAACATTTACCTTGAGGCTACATTCTAGGTTAGACCGTAACTATAATTAAAAGACCTTCTAAACAAGAATTCCCTTCCTTTACTACATCTAAACTATGCTATTTATTATAACCCTGTCTTACAAGCGGTTAACAATAAAACGATAAGTTGTATAAGTGGATCTATTAACTTAATCTGGTCGTCTTAATCCATGGTGTACTATACAATACAATAAAACTTTGGTCTAACTTATAATTTCTAACGTCTAGTCCTTTCCTTAGTTATATTTGTATATTCGTGGTAGAGCGTGTTGAGAGGCTAAAATGCTTGTTTCCAATTTTAGATATCTCAATGAAACGGGAAAATTAAATTTATCATCTATCTTGATAGCAGGCGAATCAAAATAAATACCAAAAACAATTGCTCAAGAAACTCAAATGATTTCAATTTACGTGACAAGAAAATAAATGTAAACATTTCAGTAGAAACTAGGTTTACTCATCCGATGGATTCTAAGAAACTTCGGAGTATCAGAAACAATAAATGAGTCGTCTATTATCAAAGGTGGCAATCTGTGCATTTGGACAAAAAAATGTTATTGATATGTCAATACAGATTGATTTGGAATATAATCGTCTCCTTCAAAGAATACGGTTCAAAACTTGCATTAAATAAAGGTNTAAACATTTCAGTAGAAACTAGGTTTACTCATCCGATGGATTCTAAGAAACTTCGGAGTATCAGAAACAATAAATGAGTCGTCTATTATCAAAGGTGGCAATCTGTGCATTTGGACAAAAAAATGTTATTGATATGTCAATACAGATTGATTTGGAATATAATCGTCTCCTTCAAAGAATACGGTTCAAAACTTGCATTAAATAAAGGTACTTAACCTGTTATTTATCTAAGATGTCGTTCAGAAGAGTTTTGTGACTGCCAATGGAATACAAAGTCAATAATTCGTTTTTCTGATTTACCAATAATTGTCCAAAAGTCACATTGCCGGCTTTGATAATAGTCGACTCAAATGTGAAGTAACTCGGAACTATGGTATTTGTAATCTGTAATAGGGAATACTCAGTTCCAAAGGTTTAGTTTGGCAACTAGTATGTCAACTTGCATACTAATTTGATTCGCTTCGATCTGAATAGGCACGCGTAATGAAGAAGCTGTATGGTCATAATTGTGTAGAAAGTATTGGTTTCACGTTTCCTTCTTTGGGGAATTTTGCATAATCGTTTCGCTATGGAGTGAAATTTGAAAATCGTGAAACTATTTTATCTATTATTACGTTATATTGGGTTTTGAGGATCCATAGTTTCTTTTTTTTTTCAAAACTATTTATACGGTCTGACTGTAGTCATTGAGTTAATACGCAAACATATCTATTTTTTGAAAATTCTATCTGTTTGTGGTCATATATATGTTCTAAAAGAAGAAAAGGTGCTGCAAATTGTTATTGAGATTGGTTGCTTTTGATAACTAGAATTCTAAACCGAGTGGAAGCATTTTAAATGTTTTTTTTTTATTGTTTAGATGGGTGGACGAGCTCACAGTCCACCTGGTGTTAAGTGGTTACTGCAGCCCATAGACATCTACAACGTAAATGCGGCACCCACCTCGAGATATAAGTTCTAAGGTCTCAGTATAGTTACAACGGCTGCCCCACCCTTCAAACCGAAACGCATTACTACTTCACGGCAGAAATAGGCCGGGCGGTGGTACCTACCCGTGCGGACTCACAAGAGGTCCTACCCCCAGTAATTACGCAGATTATAATTTTTGCGAGTTTTGATTTTTATTACACGATGTTATTCCTTCATCGTGGAAATCAATCGTGAACATTTGTTGAGTACGTATTTCATTAGAAAAATTGGTACCCGCCTGCGGGATTCGAACACCAGTGCATCGCTCAACACGAATGCACTGGACGTCTTATCCTTTAGACCACGACTGCTACTAAATGTGCATTAAACTGGTGGCAGCGCGTCTTATAAGCCCACACGGGTATGTTAAATCGCCCTGCCTATTTCTGTCGTGAAGCAGTAATGCATTTCGGTGTGAAGAGCGAGACAGCCATTGTACAATAAAAACTGAGACTTAGAAGTTAAATTACTATGTAGTGGCAATTTATGTTGATGTCTATAAATTCTGGTAGCCGCTTAATGCTAGGCGAACGATATCATTGTCCATGTAGTTTTAAATGGTCAACGAAGCTCCTAGACTCTGTAATTACTGCCACACATCGACATGAGTTCGAAGTCTGAAATTTTAATGTACAATGGTAACAAATTTAACTAACGTGCTCCTCGTCGAACTCGTCAATTACAACGAAGAGTACGACGAGCGAACTAACCCATAGACACAGCTCACTGAGTTTCTCGCCGGATCTTCTCAGTGGGTCGCGATTCCGATCCGGTGGTAGATTCTGCGAAGCATTGCTCTTGCTAGGGCTAGTGTTAGCTCAGGACGGGTACCGGCGACGGCGAGCCTTCGGCGCGCACTGTGCGGTACCGTAGGTTTCGTGGAGTCGGAGTGGTGGAGCTCGATGGGGTTTAGTTCGACCGGGTATAAGTAAACGGATTGTCTTTCATTTATGTACTTTCATTTATGTTGAATAAAAATTTTTTGATTTGATTTGATTTGATTTGATTTGGATTCCCCAGCGTTAAAAAAAAAAAAGGGCTAGTGTTAGCAAATTCTCTCAGGTTGAGCTCGTGAGCTCAGCTATCCGTCCGCGCGGAGCTGGAATAGCCTTTTAGGCTTACAGTGAATAAGTGGGGGAAAAAAAAACATTTCATCACTGCTTCGAGACAGGAAATTGCAGCATAGTAGTATTTAAGCGTGCGGGCTTGCAATAAGTCCTACTAGTAGTAATTAAATAAAATTAAATGCGGATTTGATTTTTATTACATGCCTAATCGTGTCCCGCATTTTTTCCCTGCGTTATTGCGAATTTATAATTTCGATATAACGGATAAAGATTGGATTAATGTCTGGTCCGTGAATCACCAATCGATTCGTAAATCAGTTGGCATGCAAAATCATTGTTAAATTGATTTTGTTCGATATGCCTAGCCTTGCCCGGGCTCTGTCATTTAGCACGATAAAAATTAGTATACGTATTAAAATATGTATTTTAGTGTAGTATGTATTTGTTATATCCAAGCTATAAAATATCTTTGTGTGAAAGTTCACCCAAATGTCTTCCAAAAGATCTAAATAATATATATCTATTTAAAAATAAGATATAAAACTGCACTAAAGTTAACACTGTATTAAACTCACAAACTTCTTAATTCAGTAGTTTAACAATTAATGTATTTAAATGTTATAGTTGACAAACGTTATCATCCTAATTATATTCGTATTGCGAAAAAAGATTGTCTTTAAATGTCGTAAAAAAAACTCGAGTACTTAAATTGGTCATACCGTTTGCCTTAAAAATTTGACACTTAAAAAGTAAACGTTGTTTGCATTAAAGTGTAAAATTGCGGTAGTCCATCAATATTGGCATCTGACGTAACGTACCGCTATGTAAATATATTTTCTCATCTATGTCTGTCGTTCTCTGCGCTCATATTTTCGTAACAGTTTAGTCAAAACTAAACTTTAACTTTCTACTAGAGGTCCCGCAGTAGTCGAAATTCGACTATAATTAATTGGAATTGTAAGTTTGTACACTATTATGATTGTATTTTATACATACTTCTATAATCACAAATTTTGCCAAGACTACACTATACAAATTATTAGCAAAGACAAACAATATTTAATCTGAATTTGACAACAGACGTCAAGAACAAAAGATTGACAATAAATAGTATGCATGCGTGTGTGCGTCAAATACATGGTATGTAGTGTGTGTGATTGATTGATTATCTTTAATCAATCAATTATATTATTGAGTGTGATTATATTTAATCTTTATTGATTTAATGTATCTTTTACGCATTATTTAAAAAAAATTATTAGCATTGTGCACTTCTTCTCTATATTCTCTATAAGTGTGGAAAATTTCATACTCCTCTGTCCGCGCAAATTTCGTAAAAAGGGATACAAAGTTTTTACTTCACGTATTAATATATAGATTGCTATAAATTGACGCGCTGAGGTCGTAGTTTGAACTATGTCCTACGTATCAAAAGGGACTGATCTAATGCTTTGCCACGAAAATGAGCTACTATTGCTTGCGGATTCACAATACATTCAACCTCTCGCAATTCTTACGTATTATTGGTTTATATTTAAGTATTAAATAAATAAAAAACTAAAGCGAGAAACATATCAAAATATAATAATAAACGAATTAGTATAATTTACGAAACTTTTGGTACATATCTTAAGCTTCTGTCGGTATTAAATTCAGTACAAAAAAGTAACGTTTTCAAAGAATCTGAGACTTGAAAGAACGTCAATCAAGACGGCGTTCCGGCATAGCTCACCATTTTAGTACATGTCCCGTGTTTTCCTAATAGGGGGTAAATAATTTACAAAGAAACCCTTTTAAGTAGTATTGAATCACTCGTGTTTGTAGAATGAAACAGTTTTAAAGTAAGGTCGGCAATGTCAAATGACTCATACAGTGCTATAATAGCGATGTGTGTTTAGGTGGATGTAGATAATGGAAATTAGTCGTATGATATAATTATTATTGCAGATCGATTTACGCTTCCGTGTGTTTAGCATACTCGATCATTAAAATTAAAACGCATCGCCATGTTGGTATCTAGAATAATTAATGCTGTTAAAAATTTGCATTAATTAAGACGTAGTTCACTTTATTGATTCATTATTAAAACTAATTGAACATTTTAATTATGTCTACAATTCGTTAATACCGAATAAAATACTTTATCAATTCAATTTGTTGAAATTCTTTTCAAAACTTTTCATTAAACTCGATCTTTCCTCGACATTGGCCCGTTTAAATTAGATGTTCTCCGTCTTTATTATATACCTGTAAAGAAATCGTTCGTGCTGTTAATAAGCAGTGCGAATTAATGTGAAATGTAAATGAGGCAGCGGTGACATGGATGAAAAAATATGAAGATAAAAAATTAATTTCTATGTAGAATTGTGAACGGATTTACTACGAGAATATTAAATGTCGTTTCTTTCTTATTACAGAGAAACATATTGAAGTCATTCTTCATATCAATAAGTAGAATTAGAAGTTCAAAGCTCTTATAATATAAAGAATGAACTTTTAAACAATAAAGTGCCCCCTTGTTAAGTAAGTTAAAGCCCAAGAAACGCATAAAGTCATGTAAACAAAGCACTGTCGTTAAGCGTGTAGGAGTATTATATTTCCCATTGAATCCAATTACCACGGTATTAATATCATTATATGGTTTTTTGTGCTACACAATAACAATTGAAATACGTGGGTCTAAGTTATTAAGCCGTCACGCACACCACCAATGAAGTCATCTGATAGATCTTACTAGATCAGATAAAACAAAATCACCTAAATTGTCTCTATATCATTTTTCAGGGGGCAGTTTTCGAGTACGCTAGGTCGATTCAGTCACTCGACTAGTCGATTGAATCCGAACAGCGAAACTGAAGAAGATTACAAGCGCAGTGTTCAGACACTACCGCGGAAACTACACGACCGCAAGGAAAAAGCCACCGAGAAGCCGAGTTCAAACAAATATTGGCACCGACTCACACCAAATAAACGTGCGGCAAGCGCTGCTAACATCTCCAATAACGCCAATGCAACTTTAGACGTTAAAATAAACGGTTACCCACCAGGACCTGCTAAGCCGGCGCGGACGTACAAAGCTTTGAATAGAAGCAAGAGCTTTGCTATGGGAGCACCCGAACAACAGACCCATCCTCGTTACATATCGTCAATGAACCGAAACTATTCTACAATGTACAAGTCTAATCCCCACCTAAGCAAACTTGACGAAACACCAGAGCAATTGAAGAGCCCAGGAATCGTGTCTATCATAAATCGTAGCCAACGAGACCTCGCTGATGCTGTTTCCCGTGAAACTGAAAGGAGAAGGGATGGTCTGTTTGGAGCCCGGTATGGAAAAACTGTACCCCATACTAATGGACACACGAATGGCTATAGCAAGTCTTTTGAGGACACAGATAAGAAGAAGATATTTTTAAAAGGATTGAAAGAGCGTGCGCCAGAATTGTATCAAACATTGCATGCTGATGAAGAATCAGACGGCAGTAGACTCTCGTCACGATATGGAACTCCTTCGCCGCATTACAAAGAGCGTCTCTCAGAAGAAAGAATAACTAAAACACCTTTGTATAAAACTGAATCATTGAATAGGGAAACGAGCCCTTTCGTGTCGCGGCTGGATTCAAGAATGAAATCTCCGGCCATCAGACGAGGAAGCAACAGCAGCGATAATTACTCTGAAACATATAGATACACTACAAGGTCCGGCGATCCTGAAAGACCAAGTGTAACGGATACAGTGGAGATTGTTAGCAAGAAGGTCGTACCCTCAAGAGACGGACGTACAAAAGAAATAATTGAATCGAGAGAAATCAATTCAGTAACAAAAAGTAGGGGCTTTAAACAAGAACCATTGCCCAGTGTCAAACACGTAGAGAATGGAAAACGATCTAACTTTGGATTTGAAAAACACGGACCGTATACTGAACGAAAATCTAGCACATACAAAGTGTCCGAGAAATTAAGAGAATATTGAAAGCCATGAGATGTGAATATATATGAATCGGTGACGAAGGATTTTTTGACAATAAACATATAAATCATAAATGCCATATTATTCAATTGTATTGAATCGAAGTCAAAGCAGACTGAATCTTGGAATCACATTAGATTTACAATATGTAGTGTTAAATTTTAATCTAAGTACATTGTTTAACTATTAATTATAAACGCTTTATCATGTAAAAAGACATAAAGCTTTACTAAAATTGTAATATACGTATTAATCGTTCAATTCCGTCCTCTTAAATGAATCTGACATTCGGGTATTTTAAAATTTATTAATTTTTTGTGAATATTATATTATACATTACATGTAATAGAAATTTATTTTTATAAAAATGTAATGAAATAACTATAATTCTATTCAAATGTATCAATAAAATAAAGTGTATTAATACGCACTAAAATTATTTTTACTGTTTATTGATAACTCGATTTCAAATAACACTTTTTCATTACAACCATTTTACGTCACACAAAGTTAAAACTATGATTCTTATGATTAGAATTCTAGAGTCGTGTTTGAGACTTTGGTTTTTTGCTAAAGTACCAGTGTACCTACTGGTCTGAGATTTGCATTCATGACATCTTTTAGTAAAAATAAAATTTGGTGGATAAAAGTATAAATAGTCAATATAGTCCTGTGAAATACATACAACCAAGTTTTCTCCATATTTCGGGATTTGCAATTTTCATTAAACCACTTTTACGGTAATTCTTCTTTTTGTTATCATAATGTCTTGTTCACGGACGACTAAGGTGTCGTTCGGGGAATTGAATTCATAAGCAAAATACCTCTACAGGATTCTGTTGTTTAGCATCATCTCGGATATAACATAAAAAATGTCCGTTTTCACCGACACTTAACTAAAATTATTATCACTATATTTTTGAAGTTATAAAGAGCTTAAATCTTAAGAAAGCACTTTTTCTTACTTTTTCAAAACAATTATTTGAGGTTTGAGGCCTAGAAGTTATTGATAGATCCAAGATCTCACAACAGTATGGTCATAACTAATTTGAGGCTAGCTTGCTGCCTGTAAGGAAGCCTGCAAGGAATTCTATTACACTATTCAGACTAATTTCATACCGAATTTCATGAAAAATTATCAAATAAACATGTTTATTTTAATATGTAAAATATAAGAGAATTGTTTTTTTTAATTTTTTTTTACATAACAATTTTTCACGAAATCTGTTTATAACGAAACTAGGCCTATGTTCTGATACAAATTAATTCTGTTTACACGTGAAAAATACGTTCAGCAGCTTCAGGAATGAAGCCAATAAACTAACAGATACACAGAAACAGACAGAAAATAATTTTAAAATTCTCCAGTTTGAAGTTAATTATTTAATAATGTGGTAACCCTATTTCTTTTTTCAATATACAGACAGATACACTGGGCTCTATTATTATATTCCATAATCATATTAGTTTATTAATTATATTATTACGATGATAAGAGTAACCCAGCATGATATCTTCTAGATTAACGGACTAAATATTATTGAAAGGGCGCTGTAATTCAAATGTAGCCAGAAAAATTATATAAATTTTTAATGATACTAGTAAAACTAAAGTACGCCAAACGCCACTTTATTAACTCCTGAGCTGCTTAAAATGTTATTCTTATCAGAACTACTTTATGCGTTTTGTCTTGTTTTGCATAGAATATCATTTTATTGTAAAACAATAAAACTGATAGAAGAACAAACTACACTTTTTATAAATTCTATTTTGTTGAAGTTAATTTTCACGGTAAGGATACGAAAAATAGTAGTCGTAATAGATTAAGTAAATTTGTATTTTAATTAAAGTTTAAATGAAGATAATAATGTGAATAAACATTATGGTTGTTTGATGGCACTATAAATTTAAGTTTTAGTTCGTCAAACGACATTTCACTTCAGGTATTAACACAGAATACCTGCATAGGTAGACAAAATAATGTTATGGAATATTACGATTTGTTTTTTTATTTTCGTAAAACTACACGAAGCGGCAAACATATTGGTCGTTATTCCTTATGCGGTCACATCTCATTACAAAATGCAGAGGCCGATTGGATTAGAATTAGCTCGAAGGGGCCACAATGTTACGGTTATAACACCGTACTTAGAACTAGATTGTCCACCGACGTATCATCAGGTGAAAGTCAGCGAAAAAAAAATATGGACGGTTATTGGTAAGTTTTTAAAACTGAAAATTATTAAATAAATCTTTTTTTTTTATTACCCTTGTAGGCAGACGAGCATACGGCCAACCTGATGGTGAGTGGTTACCGTCGCCCATGGACTTCAGCAATGCCATGGGCAGAGCCAAGGCGCTGCCTACCGCGATCTAAATCTAAATCTTTTTGGTCTAAATGGATAGACGAAGATCAGGGTTTTTTTTTGAGATTGAAGGATTTCTGCTGGCCCGGAAGCAGACCGCATCTTTACCAAGATGAATGGCCGGCCTTAGGCTCAGCCACGAGAGATTTTTTCGTTCTAATAACTGCCCTGAGACCCTCTGAAGGAAGTTCATTATTTTGGGAAGATCTGACCAGAAACTTAGCGGATTGATGTACTGTGTTGGGCTTCATCGTGTCAAGCTCTTTGCTGTCTTCACACGGTGAAGTGTATTGTGCTACTACTACTAGTACTAGAATAAAAGCGACCAACTGTAAGAGTAGTTCGGGTGGACTTATCAGCACAACGCATCGAAATGTCGACGTTGTCTAACTGCTGCAGAAGCCAGGTCAGGAGTGTAGTTAGTAGCGGCGACTAAAAAGGGATATAGCTGGGGTCGCTGTTTTGAAGTAGCGTTCCGACGCTGACTTACTTACATACAGATGTGTCCACGATAAATATGTATTTTTTATTGCTTTTGTAGGCAGAAGAGCGTACGACCAACCTAATTCTAAGTGGTTAAAGTCATTCATGGGCGTCATTAACACCAGGGGCACAGTCAAGTCAAGCCTCTTTTGAAGAATTACAAGTCATAGAGCTCGGGAAACACCGTGCAGGGGACTTCATTCCAAAGTCGGATGACAAAAAATATCTCTGGTAATGCACTGTCAATTAACGCATCGGATTCAGATAGTATAGGTCAATAGAACTTTGCTCCAGTGGCGGAAGACGTGATCATAAAAACGAGATGGGGGATCAACTGGAATAATTCCTCAGAGCACTCCCCATGGAACAAACTGTACAAAACACAGAGAGTACCGAAGTCCCTCCGTAGATCCAGAGGTTCAAAGCGATCTGCGAGAACGGTACTATCGACAATCCGAACGACCTGTCTCTGTATCGAGCTAAATGGAAGTAGCTGGTACTTGGGAGCCCCGGCCCCGAGGTGGGAGCACTACTCCACGCGAGGCCGGACCCCTGCTTTGTAAAGCGCAAGTCCTCAAGATGGTTGTATAGATCCATCTGAGTTACGGACTACGGTCATCTAGCGGCTATCCTACAATAGTGGGATTGTAATATTTGTAAGGAGTTAATAGGAGCACGGACCGCGTGATCGAACATCAAACTTGAATGCAAATACATACAAGTTTGCAGAGCAGAGTTCAAAAATATTATCTGGAATCGCTGCTTTGATTGACAGTCCGTTTCCACAGATCTTTTTTGCCACGTACCATCCGGCTTTGCAATGAACTCCCCTCGTTGGTGTTACCCCAGTGCTATGAAATCTCCTTCTTCAAACGAGGCTTGCGGAGAGTATTAAATGGAAGCAGCGGCCTGGCTCTGCCCCTGGAGTTGCTGACGTCCACGAGGGGCAGTAACCATCAGGTGGGCCCTAAGCTCGTCTGCCTACAAAGACAGTAAAAAAATATCACCTTACTATGAAGGGACAGCTTACTCCATTTACAGATTGTCCACTCAATCTGTTTGGCCCGTCGAGGACGAACGTGGACAGAAAACGTGAGGTTGAAGTCAATTCAATATAACGGATAACCCACCTTTCAAACTGGTTGGCAAGAATGCGTCGTGGCACAAACGAACCAAATAACTATCGATGTGGACTCAAAATATGCTGAGTTCACTACCCTATTGGTGTTAAGAAGTTACCGAAGCCTTACTTTAATCGTGCAAAACCTAACTTTAGCCTCAATAGTGGAAGTCATTCGTGACGAGATGACGCACTTGACACGTGTCATATCTATATCTACACTAATATATAAATCTACAGTGGTTTTTATGGATGTTCCATTACAAATACTGAACCACGCATCCGATTGACTTGAAACTTGGTATCCATGTACAAAATACATATACTTAATGAATAGGCTAATATTTATGAGTGTTGGACTACCTAACAATAATGACAATAAAAAATAATGTTAATTTTAAATACCCAGCAAAGCAGGCGAGTACGGCTAGTATTTCCTATATAAGCAAAATCCTATATAAGTAAAAAGCCATTAAAATACTTACAGATAAACGGTGGGAAGATCTATCTAACGTAGTTAAAGTTACATCCGTAGACTTTCACAGTAATATCCTTTGGACAGGCGGATTGGCTTTAACGAAGACGACTCTAAAGAATCCAGATGTACAGAAATTCCTAACTAACAATCAGACTTTTGATGCCGTTATTAGCGAACAATTTTATCAAGAAGCTACATACATTTTTGCTCATAAATATAAAGCTCCTTTAATTCTTATCACTACTTTTGGAAGTTCGATAAAGCATAATGTGGCAACTAGAAATCCTTTACAATTGGCTACGTTAGTCAACGAATTTGTGGAAATAAAGTCACCAAATTTTTTTAAGGGGAGACTCTGGAATTTGTTATTTTCAAGCTACGAATACATTTGGTGGAGATTCTGGTTTTTGAAGAAGCAAGAGGAACTAGTAGAAAAATACGTTCCAAATTTACCTCAACCATCTCCGAGCCTTTATGAACTACAGCAGAATGTTTCTTTGTATCTTATGAACACACATTTTAGTTTCGATCCTCCTGCTGCTTATTTGCCCAATTTTATTGAAATCGGCGGTATTCATCTGAATGAAGAAGTCGAAAAACTACCACAAGTGAATAATTTACTCGCTTTTATTTTAGCTTTATTACTCGAAGAGTTTGATAAAACTAGTGACAAACGTAACCAATTATTTTGTAGGACATCCAAAGAATATTAGACGAAGCAAGCAATGGAGTTGTGTATGTAAATTTTGGATCTAATATTAAGAGTTCAGAATTGCCTATTGAAAAGAAGAACGCGCTAATCAACGTATTTAAGAGCTTAAACCAAACGGTGCTATGGAAATGGGAAGACGACAATTTTGGCAACCAAACTGCTAACATTAAGACGCGAAAGTGGCTGCCACAAAACGAAATCTTAGGTATGTGTGGATGCCACCTGTAAAAAGCTTTATAATGAAAAGCCTTGTATAAGAAGTATATATTGGAAAGATGTAGTCAAAATTAATAGTTTCCCTTATTCATTAATTTAGGAGTCACTCGAACAAAAATAGTATAGTTACCTAAGGGTGCAGCGTAATTTTTGAATGAACTAACAACATCTTGTGAATAAACAGTTGACGGGAATGAGAGAACGTTTTTAACCACTTATGAGCCAGCCTGCATTTGTCAGAATCTGTAAAAATCCGAAACCCATTCTGCACTAATAAATCAACATCCTTAAAGATCATTCCTCTGCAAGGGAAGATAGTTAGGTCTACTACAGATTTCCAAAAATTTCGTGCCGCTACTGTTATTTAACATTAATTTTGATTTTCATACTGAATGTGTTGTATGATTTTAATTTTTATTTCAGCTCACCAAAATGTGAGAATATTTATATCACACGGTGGTTTAATGGGAACCATTGAAGCAATTTTCCACGGAGTTCCCATTATTGGTATTCCATTGTTCGGAGATCAATACAATAACCTACTACAAGTAGAAAATGCAGGATCTGGTATCATTCTTGAATATCACAACTTAAATGAAAACAATATGCGTTCTCTGATAAACCATGTTCTCAGTAATGAAAAGTACAAAAATAATGCTAGAGATCTATCGATAAGGTTTAGAGATAGACCAATTAAAGCTCTAGACGCTGCAATGTATTGGATCGAATACGTTATAAGACACCAAGGGGCTCATTTCATGAAAAATCCCGCATTAAAATTGAATTGGTTTGCCTACAACATGTTTGATGTTTATCTTTTCATTTTATGTGTATTTATAATTAGCGTGTACGTAAGTTATAGATGTTTAAAGTTTTTAGTTTATTTTCGTATAAATACAAGGTTTGATAGAAAATTGTGTGGGAAAGTTAAATTTCAATAAACAGAATAAAAGTTTGAAATCTAATTACGACATTTTGTTTTTTTTTTTGCCATTAAGTTTGTTTGGGTTTAAAAAAAAGCAAGAAATAGTTCACGAGTTCGCATGATTTTGGTAGTCGGCATTGAAGGGAAATAAACAATTTTCGAAAACAAAAATGGGCAGTGTGTTTTGTGCCTTTGCCTACGTTTGGGGCTAGGGGCACTGTTCGAACTCTATATAAATTAGAGTTAACTTTCACGCTATCGAGAACGTTAAAAACTCACACTAAGCGCACTGAAGTGACGGCAAAACGAATCTCGGCTGCGCGAAATGTGTGATACCGTATCTTACATAAATCTAAAAAAAGGTATTATATTTAATTTCAATTAAAAACGTAATCATTATAAGGATATAATAAAAATACTATAAAAAATTATACATTTTTGAAAATATTGTTTTTTAATTTTTCGGCAAGACCTCAAAACCTGTCAGGATATCAGATATTTGTAAATTTGACACATATATAATATTGCTTTTGTTATTGTCCTCTCTTGAAGAAGTAAATGAAGGGTTTACAAAAAAATATAAAAAAGTTTGAAATTTTATTGTCGTCGAAATGTTTCTACATTATTTTTAGTATAAGCGCGCCACCTGTTATAGTATTTGAGAACAACGAATGCCAAACTGGAAATCGTTTAACAGAACAAATTCAAAAAAACAACTAGTTTCATTAGTACGTTTTAGTCGTACAGTATATCACTAGATGTCGCGGAATTAAAAAAAATGAACTGGTACACCTTTTTTGGCCGGCCTTTTTTTTTTTATTCCCCTTTTAGGCTAACGAGCATACGGCCCACCTGATGGTGAGTGGTTACCGTCACCAATGGACTTCAGCAATGCCAGGGGCAGAGCCAAGCCGCTGCCTACCGCTTAATACTTTCCACAAGCCTCGTTTGAAGAAGGACTTGTCATAGCGCTCGGGAAACACCGTATCCACGAGTATCCGTGTCACCGCGTAGGCGTAGGGATTCTAATTAACGGACCCACTAAACAGCACTATTGCATTTTCTGAGTATCCTAGCCCCAACCGAGACAAGACTGGGAATGGCAGGGCGGGCAATCGCGGTCAATACTACAACAAGCAGCGTGGTACCCTAAAGCCTCTAAAGACCGGCAGAGTCGTCACATAAAACGACTTTACATCGGCTATCATTGTTGGCGGCGAGTCAGGCCACCCAAGCAGCGCGGCTGTTGCTCCGGAATATCCTTTTGGATCAGAACCAGCCGAAAGGTCGGAATGCGATACTTAACCGCCTGTTGCTCTTTAATATCAACTTTGAGGTGTGCTAATTTTCCATTTTTATTCATTCCAACTCTAGATTTCAGTCGTCATATTAACAGATATTTTTAGTAAATAAAGTAGTTTCTTCAAGTTCTTCAAGATCAATTGAATGGAATTTGAGAATGGTGTAAGTTAATTCTGAGAGAGGTATACCGATGCTCTAATGTTATTTTATTGATCATTTTGAATTGTCCTATCTGCTCTGTTTTTTTTAATATTTGTTATTTGTTTCCTAATGTCCACATTCTCTTGACGGTCATGGACTTGGTTAATAGCTTGCTATTTCGGTTTAGAATCTATATATTAATACGTGAAGCAAAAACTTTGTACCCCTTTTTACGAAAATTGCGCGGACGGAGGAGCATAAAATTTTCCACACTTAAAGAGAATATAGAGAAGAAGTGTACAATGCTAATATTTTTTTTAAATAATGCATAAAAGATACATAAAATCAATAAAGAAAACATTACACACACTACATTATACCATGTATTTCACGCACACACGCATGCATTCTATTTATTGTCAAACTTTTGTTCTTGACGTCTGTTGTCAAATTGAGAATATATTAAATATTGTTTGTCTTTATTAATATTTTTTTATAGTGTAGTCTTGGCGAAATTTGTGATTATAGAAGTATAAAATACAATCATAATAGTGTACAAACTTACAATTCCAATTAATTATAGTCGAATTTCGACTACTGCGGGACCTCTAGTTTTATTAATTTGACAAGAATAATATTTAATATTATTAATTATGCAGGGTGTAGCGATGGCTCTTCGAATGACGTAAGCATAATAAAAATCAAACCCGCAAAATTATAATTTGCGTAATAACTGGACCTCTTGGGAGTCCGCACGGGTAGGTACCACCACCCCGCCTATTTCCGCCGTGAAGCAGTAATGCGTTTTGGTTCGAAGGGCGGCGTAGCAGTTGTAACTATACTGAGACCTTAGAACATATATCTCGAAGTGGGTGGCGCATTTACGTTGCAGATGTCTATGGGCTTCAGTAACCACTTAACACCAGGTGGGCCGTGAGCTCGTCCATCGATCTATGCAACAAAAAAAAGCATTTTCTGAGAAATTTTTCATACTTGTCCATTTGTGTTTAGGATTCGAAAGCTAGCAGAGCGTCTGGCACCAATCCTCTTACCGTGTCCGAACGGCAAATGTAGCGAAGACAGCGATGTAGCAATGAAAGCAACATCTTGTATTTTCTTCGATGTTCATAAAAATTGTGAAAGCAGACGTGTGAAGTGTTAGGTAGGTAATGTGAGGAGTTAGCTAGCTAAAAATACTTGGATGGACTGTGTGAAAAAGGATATACGAGAAGAGGATGTGGATACAGAGATGTGACGTTTGTTAGACCCGAAGGGAGACAGAGGAAAAGCTGTCCAACTCTTAACGGGATAAGGGTAAGAAGAAGAAGGTCAGCAATTCGTATTCGAAACACAGAAATATAATGGCAAGTAAGTATCAGTTGAATGGAATATTTGAAATGTATTCAACTGATAATTATTTTTAATAAATGTATCTTTTTTATTTGATTTGTTTTGGTAATTTTAAGTATGTTTAAATAATACTATGTACACATATGGACTTGTTGTCTGAAATAAAATAAATCATTCATTCATTCATTCATTCGTAATTATTTTTATTTGGTCAAAATTTATAATCACGCAACAAGCCATTGATTCGTAGAGATTCTAATAGTTTTTTTAAAGTCAATATTGTGGAATTATAATATTATAACCATTCCAATCGGTTACGCATTATGACATGACTGATCGATTTTTACTCGAGCTGTCACAAGTAAAATAAATGGTTAGAAGGAGATTAATATTATACGTATTGCCGCCCATGAAACAAATAGCCTAAAACCTTTGAAATACATTTCTAAGCCCTTTGTATCCAAATTGAATATTACGTTTCCTTAATCGTCTGTACAAATAGTATTACTATTGTTAAAGGGCTTTCTCGGACACAATACAATAATAGAAGTAGTCGGGTACGGCAATTAAAGACAATGGGTAATAGTTTCAGGAAATTCATATCGTGAATCCTTTCCTGTATGCGATCAAATTAATATTAGCTGAATTACAGTTGCCAATAAATTTAAATTTTAGCAGATTTTTATTTAATTTAGTACATAAAACTTGATTGCTAGAACATGACTTAATGACTACATATAATAGGGATATTTAATAGGAAAGGCCAGTATTTACATTTTACGCACGTGTAAAGAAAACACTGAAATATTGTGGTCTAAAATTTTAATTAAATTTTCAATACCGTTTTGACCACTGGATGTAACACAATACAAGTACCACGGCCGACATTTGGGGTCTACGATTTGACTCAAGAGCTGTCCAAACACTGCCACGCACCACCCCCGATTACTCTCTTTAGTCAATCCATACCCTGGGCCAGGAAGGTCAAGTACCTGGGCGTTACCCTGGATGCATCGATGACATTCCGCCCGCATACAAAATCAGTCCGTGACCGTGCCGCGTTTATTCTCGGTAGACTCTACCCCATGATTTGTAAGCGGAGTAAAATGTCCCTTCGGAACAAGGTGACACTTTACAAAACTTGCATAAGGCCCGTCATGACTTACGCGAGTGTGGTGTTCGCTCACGCGGCCCGCACGCACATAGACACCCTTCAATCTCTACAATCCCGCTTTTGCNGAAAAAAAAAAAAAAAAAAAAAAAAAAACTTCCACGCACGTCAGATTGAGTGAGTCTTATGCGGGTTTTTTTATATATTTTTTATTGCTTAGATGGGTGGACGAGCTCACAGCCCACCTGGTGTTATGTGGTTACTGGAGCCCATAGACATCTACAAGGTAAATGTGCCACCCGCCTTAAGATATAAGTTCTAAAGTCTCAGTATAGTTACAACGGCTGCCCCACCCTTTAAACCGGGTGTTGACTCCTGATTATTAAACATGTTCATTCTAGAGCTTAGCTAGAACTACCAATTCCATAACAAAAGGTATTTAGATCTCAAGATTGTACAATACAATTGAACCTTGAATCTAATGTCTCATTGTGTTGTGAGTAATATTGAAGAGACAATAACAACATCGAGTACTACATTAAGTTGTGACGACACAGACAGCATTACGTGAATTTCACACATTCACACTGAAAGGTGAAGTTGAATTCTTATCTATATATTAATACGTGAAGGAAAAGCTTTGTATCCCTTTTTACGAAAATTGCGCGGACGGAGGAGTATGAAATTTTCCACACTTATAGAGAATATAGAGAAGAAGTGCACAATGCTAATATTTTTTTAAAATAATGCATACAAGTTACATTAAATTAATAAAGAAAACATTACACACACTACATACCATGTATTTGACGCACACACGCATGCATACTATTTATTGTCAAACTTTTGTTCTTGACGTCTGTTGTCAAATTGAGAATATATTAAATATTGTTTGTCTTTATTAATATTTTTTTATAGTGTAGCCTTGGCGAAATTTGTGATTATAGAAGTATAAAACAAATCATAATAGTGTACAAACTTACAATTCCAATTAATTATTATAGTCGAATTTCGACTACTGCGGGACCTCTAGTTATTGTTAGTAGCGGCTGTTCCATCCAGATAATATATCATAATGTCCGTACCTTCTCATACGTGCTCACATTGCACAC